CACCTCAAGCGCCACCAGGTGCTGCAATAAGCTCGTTCACGTTTTCGCTCACATTAAGAGGACCTAAGAATGACCTCGTCTCAAGAACTTTTGATTGGGAGATTTTCCCTAAATCTATGGGTCTTAATTGGACGTGTTTCTGCCAAACGGAACTATATGCGTTAAGATATGAGTCCTGAGACCTATAAGGATACGTGCATTGCAGGGCTCACGTCATAATGCACATAGCTCTCTTTGACAGAGATACGTCCAATTCGTAAGGGGCATTTTCTTCCACCGATCACTAGGACACGGCCCTGTATGTCAAGCTCTCAAGTACCGAGCTTAAATAAATCACCTATAAATATGAGGATTCATCAAGCTAAAAAAAAAACGGAAATAAAAATACTCAATTATCTTCAGAAGTAGAGAGCCATTTTTTTGCCCATCTCTTAAGCAGTCGTCCAGGTAATCTTTTCTCTAAGGGTTATTCAGTCGTATAAACTTTCGTTAGTCTCTCCACTCGGTTAACGTGCTCCAACTATATTATTCTCCTCATGTTGGTCACGGCGCAACATGCTACGCGCTACAAGATGGACTCGCTGCTCTGTCTATCCAAAAGTGCGCGATCCGCTATTTTCCTCAAAATTTTCATCTTAATGGTGCGAAAATATTTATGGTGCACTATTTCAAAGGCATGACTTTCGTCTCTTCGGCCACCGGATCCCTCTAGAATAAGAGAGATAATTGGCCAACGTCCAAATTATTTTTTAGCGCTCGGAATTATTTGAATTTTTTCCTTCTGTATACCAAGAATACTCTGTGCACTCTTGGGAAATAACTCAAAAAATTTTCTCCTAAGTATGTTTTGGGGACGTGTGCGCAAAAAAATACGAGATATCTTCACTTCATGGCAGAGAAGCATGAAAAACTGACCGATTTTGAACCGAGGTAGATATTTGAGTGAGGGTATGCATGATAAAAGTTCTGGTAACGTTTACCCCAGGGTCGGACTGGCTCGCATCTGAGGGCGTAGACCCTTGGCTGGTTAAAGGGGCGTAATGTGATAAATCCTGATGGGGCATCCCCTTCGTGGAGAGGGGTCCAGAAAATTTTGGCAAAGCAGCACAAGTTTACGCTATTTTCAGGCTCAAAGTTTATTAATCGTACAGAGTAAAAATTGTAAAATTAAACGTATTGAAGTGACTGTCAGACCTATTAAATTGAAGAAACCAAAAAAATTAAAGCCATTGGACGCAAGCACCATTATTTCCACAAGAACCGTGTCAGTGCTGCGGTTTACATGAGCTTAAGACGTGGGTCTAAAAATCCATCCTAACAAAGAATCAGGCAAGAACCTGAAAAAAGAAGAAAGAACGAGTATCAACACAGCCGAAGGTAGGAGAAATGTGTTCGGGCCTCTTTTTTAACTTTTCTCCCGAATCTGAGCGACACCTCTTTGACAGCATATAGCTGAGCATTGAGAGCTCACGCTTCGCGTCATCGCGCCTTCAATTTTTCAGATGCAGCACGGACGTCCATCAAGTACGAATAGTTGTATCTCTGCGCCGTCGTAAACGCGCATTCTTTCCCTCGCTTCATTTCCATATTGTGTTTGTTCGCGTTTGTCTTATTCGTAATGGTGCTTCAAGCAATACGTGAGTAACACAGTAGGAGAGATGTGCTTGGGCCTCTTTTTAGCTTTTCTCCCGAATCTGAGCGACGCCTCATTGACAGCATGTAGCAGAGCATTGAGAGCTCACGCTTTGCGTCATCGCGCCTTCAATTTTTCAGATGCAGCACGGACGTCCATCAAATACGAATAGTTGTATCTCTGCGCCGTCGTTGACGCGCATCCTTTCCCTCGCTCTATTTCCATGTTGTGTTTGTTTCCGGTTGTCTTATTTGTAATGTTGCTTTAAACTAGAACAGAGCATTGCGAGTTCACGACTCACTCCATCGCGTCTTACATTATTCATATGCACTGTGGACATCCGTCTTGCGAGAATAGTTGTATTGCGTTTACACTTTAGATGTCTCTTACTTTTGAATTTCGAGATAAATTAAGGTTAAGTTTGCCCGAGATATGCTATGATATGTCCAAATCAATAGTCATTTTGAAAAGGAAGAAATATATTTAAAGTTCTCTCATGAGGTCTATAAAGTGTGCGTATGTCTAAAAATCGAACCGGCTATCGTTTCTACGGGAGTAGAAACATAGAGAATGAAGGAGGGGGATGATAAAGCGCCTGTATGTCAACAAAAAGGTGACAATTTCATAGAAAAGTGTTTACGCTTCAGCAAGTAGTTCTTGGACCTCTGTTCAACACTATGCATAAAAGCCCCTCTCTTCACTCCTAGCTCTCTCCTTTTCCGTTTATTTAAGAAATTTTCCGCATATATTCTCGGTCATAATTTTTTTTCTCTTCTTATTTTGCTATCTGTCAGGGGGGTTCGTTTTTGGCGCGCCAAGGAGGCGTATCTGCCAAAGGCCGATTGGCCTTATGGCCAGTCCGAGCCTGGTTTACCTCACTTTCGCCACAGAGTGAGGTAAATGGTAACAATTCTCTGATTGCCCTCACCCAAAAATCTACACGAGTCTAAGAAAACTTAGGTTGAATCATAGCTAAACTTATTACCATACATTCAACCCCGCGTTTCTGTGAGACCCTCACATCTGCGTGTCAAGCCACCCATGATTAAATTTTTATCCTGACAATTCCTTGTAACCCCTAAGCTCCCTTTGAAGATTTCTCCAAATTCTTACAATATTTTGCGTAGAAGCAGGGACTTCCAAAAGTTTTTCTCTTCTTCCTTTTCAGTGGCGAAGCGTGAATGATCAATTATGGATATTTCCCAATTTTAAGCTATGGTGAGGAATCGATTTTTGAAGTGTTCGTTTCGAACACACTGTTAATCGATCCGTTCCCATAGGTTTAAATGGCAGATCAATCGATATATCGCAAAGCACGCCACGCTACTGTTCCTCTTCTTCTCCTCCTTAACGCTTAAGTCCATGGAACTGATTTATGGTCGAGAATAGTGAGAAACACTGATTAGAAAGACGGGCTGAATTGGATGCATTTCTATCAAACGGAACTATGTGCATTTAGACATGAGCCCTGAGATCCATACGGATATGTGCGCAACAGGGCTCACGCCATAATGCACATAGTTCCGTTTGATAGAAATCCGTCCAATTATCATTTGCCCGGGAGGTCTTTCGTCTGCGGATCGACAGAGACATCGGCGATTGGTGCGGGGTATTTAAACTGATTTAAACCTAACCGATGCTTTGCGGAGGGCACAGAAATCGCCATAGTTGCCAACTGTGACGAGAAAGCCCTCCATGTCCAGTGTCGATCCACACAAAGTGGCAATACTGGACTTCGTTCAATTTAGGTAGCTCTTCGGCTAAGTGGAGAACCATTCGATTAGTCGATCGATAAATTGATAATTCCTGGATCTTAAGATTTCGTCAGGTATTGATAGGTATCGCGGGCAATTAGCAATCATCGGCAACTTACAAGTCACACGTGAACAAATAGAAAAGCATAGAATTTCGTAAAAAAAGGAGGGACAATATTTGAGTGCTGATTATTTTGCCTTCAGTATGGATGGACACTTTTTCCACCGTGAGAATATGGTTGTAACGAGCACACTCAAGAGAGTGTGTAGTGAAATTCGTGACCCTACTTGAGATCATACCGGATAGGCAGCTAACCTAACTCCATTGAAAAGCGTAAAGTATCACGAAAATTGAAGGCGCTCTGAGCCGAGATCGTTCTTTTGAACCTTTTGAATGGTGTTGCCCATCATTGCGATTAATCGAAACAATATATAAGTCGCTCACCAATTGCCAGCGATTCCTGATTACCTGCGCGACACGCGCGTACAATAATTGACCAGGAAACTTTGAAATCGCTCCGAAAGTACAACTCGAGTGCTTGAAGCTATTTCAAAATGTTTCTTCGTCAACTTTTATGCGCAAATGCCTGTCCTACCACAGCGTGATGCGAGGCCTAGGCCCAAGAATGCTAGAGAAAAGTTCTAAAATTCAGAAAGTATCAATTGGAATACATTTTGCAATTAGGAACTACAAATTCTAGCCCATTCGTAAAATCACTCATGTGAAAAGAGAAACTAATGGTAAAAACGTTGTTTCTAAACTGAGATAGAAATTGTAGTTCCAAATTGCAAAATGCAGTCCAGTTGATCCTTCGACTGTCATATTGTTCTGCATTCCTGCAAAGTGCTGAAGAACCGCACCTTAGATGCACCTATGCTGCCATGCCATGGAAGAACGCCGTATGAACATTCAAAAGTTGCCAAATTTCCTTCGATAAATCTAAATAAGAATATTTGACTACTCACCTAGGCATTTAACAAAATGCCTGATTTCGCTACTTGCCTTCGACGTCTACATAGCTCGTAACTTCTTTCTTCGCAGTGTAGTCAGGTACTTTCGCCATCGATATAGAATCGATTATTTATACTGCCATGCTAAGGAAGAACGCCGTATGAACCTTCAGGCGTTGCCAAATTTCGGTTGATAAAACACAAATTTCCGGTAAATTTATGAATCAACTTCTTCCAACTGTTAGGATAATTTTGCTCGCAATTCCCTCGAAAAGTCCTGAGAATCTCAAGGGAAAATATCCAAAACTAACCTCAAAAATGAACATTTTATCGGAGGAAATTTGGCAACTTTTAAATATTCATACGACGTTTTTCCTAAGCACGGCAGTATAGTGGATTTAAATGGCAAATGTCAATGTTGCCAACTCGTATCCGGTATAAAATTGGGCGATTTCCAAACGGCGCGGCGCTACCCCGAGCCCGACAATGATCCGAATCGCGTCTGGCTAGAAATTCGCCGGCGGCGTCGGCTGAGTTTGACAATCGTTCGGGAGGTTTTCGAGCCAATTTAAACTTGACCTTGGTCTAATTTTTTCGAAAATAGCTAAACGAGGCTCCGCAACACCAGTTTTCGACCGGCCGCGCACCCGCCGCGACTCCTATCATCCCGGACCCGGATGTGCGAGAGGAATTTCTAACTCCATCGTCCCAGCCGAAAAGTGAAAATAGTGCTTAAATCTCTTAAAAATAAAGTTAAAAAATACAAGTATTTGCAGTGGATGCGGAAGCTCTTTTGTGTGACGCACGCCGCTCTAGTTTCTTTTAAGTGCGTGAAACATCTCGATGTGGGTTTAGTGTTGTGACTGGAAATTTCTCCTCCGATATCGCTCCGAAAACTTCATGAATTCATCTTCAAGGAGGTAGGTTGATTCTATATTTGAAAACTAGAAGAAATTGAGGAGGTGGTTGCAGCGACAGCCCATATGCGAACATCTTGTTGAATAAATGGTCGTATTTCTGTTAAACGGAACTAAGTGCCGAATTGAGTTCCTTTTGAGGATTTGAGAATCCCGGATAGCGCGTTCTGTCAAACGGAACTAAGCGCCATGGAAAAGCATTGCGAGTATAGGACGGGACAAGTATCGCGTTTCGCAACACCCACCAATCCAAGCCCCCCTCTCCCTTCCTCCCCCGATGGCGCTTAGCTCCGTTTGATAGAAATACGTCAAAATATGAATCATACTTCATATTCCATCTTATAAAATCATGAGAGTGTCGCGTAACGCATGAGGCGCGAAGAGCATCGGGGGGTTGGACACCAAAGCGGCCATGCAGGGTGCGTAGGTACCCCCCAAGTAATTCATGGATCTTTATGCAGCCCTTCTTCGACGGGGGCTCTAATTGGACGTATTTCTGTCAAACGGAACTATGTGCATTATGACGTGAGCCCTGTAATGCATGTATTCTTCTGGGTCTCGGGGCTCATCTCTAAAAGCACATAGATCTGTTTGATAGAAATACGTCCATTTATAAAAGAACGCAAGAGCTCAAAAAAGTAACAAGTTAGAGACAAATTGAACCTCCTAATGAATTTTTCTCAAAACTGGGTTCTTGCATATGGGATGTTTTTGCGGCAGCCTTCTCAATTTGAGTCACTCTTATGGTGTTGTGCCAAGGAGAAACGCCATAAGAACATTCGAACGACGTAAAATCTTCCATGATAAAATACGCAATTCATGGAAAACTTTTGAATATTTTTGTTTAAATTTTTCAAAGAAGTTTATCCGCAAGTAGATCCAAAGTATCGGAAAATCCAAGAGAAATATACACTGCTTTCCTTAATAATAATCATTCTCCCGGGAGAAATTTGACAATCTTCGAATGTCCATACAGCGTTTTTCCTCCGCACGGGAGCATGGGTACACTGTTGGAGTTGGAACTCCATAAAGTTGTTGCCTCATCCATAAAACCACTCATGTGCATGGGGAAACTAATGATACATAAGTTGTTTCAAAATTGAAACAGAAATTGAAGTTCCTTATCGCAAAATGAAGTCCATTTTGCCTGCAAAGAACCTACATGACAGGAAAGGAGCGTGAAATTTTCTTCGTATAGTAGGGTCAACTCCGCAAGAAGAGGTAACTCATTCCTATGTAAGAGTAGAATTCATACAGCAAAAAGAGTAGATTCCATATCGTTCCCATAACATGCTCACCGGTGGTTTGAGAGAATCACAGGCGCCGGAAAGAAATGCATTCTGGATCTCAATCGGTGAAGCTCTCAGCGTGTCACCTCTCACAATTTTTTATGTACTTCAAAAGCTTGTAACACTATACAATGTTTTATAATCACGCCTATCCTGTATCAGCATGTAAGAAGCCACCCCTCCTCCTCTCCCTCCCCCGGTTAAATGCTGACTACATATCTCTCTGAGTTACAAGTTGAACAAAAAAAAAAAAAAAAAAAAAAAAAAAAAAAAATCGAATTGATAAATTATTAACAGTTTTTTTTCAATCGCTTGTGTCATATGACGTCAGATTAAAATCGTTGATAATAAAATTGAATTACGGATTGTGTTCTTCCTCGGCAGAAACGTCATGCTATTGTTTCGCTAACTTATCTGAGGCTCTTCCGAGAATATAATTTGCGTTACTTACTTTTTTTCTTTTTTTTACTGAGTCAAATCGATAAAATGTGAATCACCCTCACCGACCGACCAAAACCGACGCGACGGTACAGTGGGTCACTAGAAACGATAAAAGTTGAACTTAAACAAAACTTGCTTCCCTGTGAAAGGGTCACAGAGAACACTTTGAACGCTTTGGAAACTTCCCAAGTGTTCGAAAACAATCATTTCCGATAAATAATCAATGTTTGGTTTGAAAAAAGTTGACCCTTTCCTCTAATTTACGAGGAAAAAATTATCCATCGTTAAGATCACTGAAAATAGTTGAGTGCTCAATTTGACTAGAGTTTGGACTTCGGTTATTTTGTGAGCGGGAAATATCAATATTTGGTTTGAAAAAATTATTCCCTTTCTTGAATCTACGGGGAAAAATCTTCCATCGTGAAGCATACTGAAATAAGATGAATGCTATATTTGACTAGAATTCGGACTTCGGTTGTTCTGGGAGCGGAAAATTTGAATCTGACCCACACAAAAATTTATATTTTCTAACTTATGAGATGAATTTAGGATTGTTTAATGTGCCCATCGTGTTTAAAAAAAAATTTATTTGGGTACACAAATTATGGTGCTTCCACCGAAAAAAAAGTGAGGTTGATTTAACATTCAGGATGTAAAAATAGTGTGCGAGAACTTATTACATGCTGAATTCCCCGCTACAACAGTTACTTTAACAATGCCAAGATGTAAAATTAATTGCAGTGGCGGGTAATTTAGCATTTTATAAGTTATCGCACACTTTTTTTACATCCAGAATGTTAAATCAACTTTACTTTCTTTTCGGTGTCATTTCGTATTCTACCTGGTTTTTTGACAAATGATAATAATAGTCAGGAGTGTAGTAAACTGGTGATGCAGAGAGAAAAGAAAAAAGAGAACGACTGAGTTGGGGTCCGTAAATGATTTTATGATGTCTGGCATATTAATAAGATCATTTAAATTCTCCATTTACTCAAGATTTGGAATGAAGTGGATGCTCCAAGCTTGTAAAATTGTGTGTAGGATTCTGCGCCTGATCTGAATGTATAATTTGCCACAATTTTACGAGTTAGCTCATCGCGCCCCCACTCCTCAGCTGCATCGGAAATGGAGGAAGTAGTATACTTCAAGGAAGTCCCTCTGAATCAAAAGTTTAAAAATAGAAAAACGAAAAATGAAAATCTAGACGAGTCGGAAGACAGTATATTACTGAAACGCCGCCTCCAAATTTTTTTAAGGAATATAATCGGTTTAAACAGCTCTCAAGTTCAGTGTTCAGCACCATTTTTCGCCCGTTGCACTGAAAAAAAAGTTCAGTCGTATGAACCAAAGTTCGGTGTTCATATCATCCCAACGGATTCGGTTTGTCAAACAAATTTCTGGTCCGTCAAACCGAACTTCCGGTACGTGCGTGTAACCGAACTTCAACGGTAAGGTGAACTGACGAACAAAGCTCGATTACATGAACCCAATGTTCGGTTACACGAACCGAGAGTTCAGTTTGACAAACCGAATAGTTTAGATGATATGGAACACCGGACGCTCAGTTCCTATGTATGACCGAATTTTTTATTCTGTGTGAAAATGCTAAAGCGACTTGTCGAGCACTTAATTGGTCTAGTGAGGACTGATGAAAGTCGCATCGAGGACTTATTGCTAAGCAAGTTTGTCAAACTAGGTATCGTATGCGAAACTAGATTGCTCAAAACTTGGATTAGGACTCAGCAAATCGGAGTCTTTTAACCTTTTAATTAACCCTCACAAATATCGTTTACAGGTGCAATAAGGGGGTATTAGTGCAACGTCTCTAAAATATATCATCTCTAAATGAGCCACATTAGGTACCTCTTGTGGAGAGTAAATATCAAGTAAAACGACATAATTCAAAATAACTAGCTTTCAATTCAAATGGTTATGGCAAAAAGTTTGCTACAAAGTAAGGCGGAATGCACATATTTACAATATTTTCCACCCACTTTCCTCTGACCCATAGTAAAACCAACCGAGAGGACCATTCTTAAAATGTCTCGAAACTATATACCAATCACTTATTTTCTTTTGACAATATCACAAGCAAACAGAGAGTTTATGGCATCAGAATGTAGATAAGTGCTTTTTAGTATCATGAGGAATCGGTTCGATCGTTCTACACTCCCACGTCAAAAAGCAACAAGGATTCAAGTATCGCCTGGCCGACCGTAACACAATCAACTTAACTGGCGCACACATTGTATGCCTCAGATTTGAAGGCGATTCAAACCGCTCAGTCGCCCGTCGATTGCGACCGCCTTAGCGCCAATCACTGGATATTGCTCTTCGTGGTCTAATCCGATACCAACCATGCTCCGATTTTTGACAGAGGTGCCTTTCTGTGAATGATGATATTTTCCCAGGACCAATTTGTACAAATTGGACATTTTTATGAAAATATAAAATTAAATCCTCACCAGAATTGTTGGCCATAAGAGCAAGTTAAAAAATATTGAATTATAAATTTAAATATATAAAGTATTTTCGCATGTTTGCGATTAGTGGGCAAAGGTTGATCGATTTTTCCCCCTCACGCTTAATGTCGTTACGTTCCGGCGCTCTGACATTAGAATTTTAAAGCTGAAATAGACTGCTTGTATCTTTTCGCAAAACATCACGTGCCACATTCCAGGTGGATTTTTTTTTAAAAAAAATCCTTGATTATTATATTTTTTAACTGAACTGAAAATCCGAGTCAAATCTTCGAAATGTAAGGAAATCGTTTCGGTATTACTAGTACGTTGTTTGCAAATAAGTAATTTTACGTATCCCCGAAAAACTTTTCCTTTATTTCTGTTTAGTTCTATTTTCTCGATGATTTTTGATTTTTTTCTGACATATTCTCCGTAGACATAGAGAAGGCATAAACTTGTAAATATTGCACAGAATATTTTGCTTCTTCCTCTGAAAAACGGTAACGGAACGATGCCGGCTAGGAGCAGGACACAGGACATGCGGAAGCTTTTGCCGTTATCAAAAGAGAAGAAAGCCCAATGGCGCGACGCGCCGGCCGGCTTTGGCCGTTGACGCAAGGGTGCAAAAATGGGCAGGGGAGGCTGAGTCTGGATTGAGCGAATGATATCCAGGACTTATTGTTGTCCCAGGTCAAGAATGGCAGATGAGGAGAGATGCGGATTCCGGAGGATGCATTCAATTCATATGAGGCGGCCAAGTGAGCGCTCCACTTTCTATCGGCCAATCAGCGATGAGTCTCATGGTGTGATG